CTCTTTTTTTTGGTCCGTCGCTCGAGCCAGGGTTTTTTAGATCGAGCGAGGATTGCGTTTTGTAGTAAGACCTGAGAGCAGATGTTTTTGGCTCGAGCGAGATTTTCTTCGCTCGAGCGAGTTAGTTCGTTCTTCGCTCGAGCGGGAGTTCCTTCGCTCAAGCGTGTGTCTGGTTACAGACCTGAGGGTTTGAGTTCTTCGCTTGAGCTAGATTTCTTTCGCTCGAGCGAGCTTTTGGGTTGTTGGCTCGAGCAAGGCCTCCTTGGCTCGAGCGTAGCTTTTCTGTGTCTGGTCGCTCGAGCGACCAAGTCTTCGCTCGAGCGAGCCTGTCCAGTTTATATACACAGCAACGGGTTTTGATCAGTCTTTTTCCATCTTCTTTTTTATTCCAAACCCTAGGTCCGACTTCTCTCTCCCTACTCACCTTCTCTCTCAGGTTTGATCTATTTAGAGTGTGTTTCTACCCTAGTTGCTTTATTAAAAAGATAGAGGGAGTCGAGGGCTTTCATTTAATCTGAACATTTGGCGATTTAGAGCACATTGGTATTTGGGTATTCATCTCTGTCTTCTCCGTTTGGGTTGTTTTCTTCGAGGTAGGGATTTCCTACTCCCTTCCATAAGTTTTGTTCTAAGTTTTGGTATTTTGATATGTTGGGGATACTTTGGTAATTTTGGGAAAAACCCTAGTTGTATAATTAATTCTTGAAATTGGGAAAATATGGTTAAATTCATGGAATTGGGGAATTCATTGATTAAATGGCGTAGTTTGTTAATTTAAATCACTCGTCTATTGAATTGTTGGTATATTTATTTCCAAGTCTAGAAATAACTGTTTTGGGCTATCGGTGGAGGATAGTCGTGCCAGTTATCAGTCATTATCAGTCTCGTTTAACAGTAATCGGTGATCAATCGGTCATTAATCAGTAAACAGTATGAGGGTTGTTACAATAACAGCTTCCATTGGAGATGCACTTAGTGCACTAATTTAATAATAAGGAGAATTCTATTATCTTGCTAATGTTGTAACTTAAGTGAAAAATATAGAAATTCCCTAGATATTAATTTGTGATTATGTAACAATTTTAAGCAGTATATAACAATCCCAATCAAACAATCAAGACAAATCAACACAACAATTTTAACGTGAAAACAATCACAATTGGACACCTCCAACTGTGATTAAAAAAATCACGGGCAACAGTCACAAAACAATCCACTAAGAAGATTTAAAGGAATTACACAGGTATACTCTCAATTACCTAGCGAATCCACGTCTAATTGAACCAACCTTTATATGCCTCTTCCAACCCCGTCTTCACCTCGGAATTGTCTTTACGATGAGCCACTCCAGAATCCACTGAAGCTTCAGGCTCGAATTCTTCAGAATCCACCAAAGAACAACTCTCTCTCTCTTGTGTATAACAAACAAAACCTTTGATGTACTCTCTTTAAACCATGAGTTGAATACTCAATAAAACATCAAAGAAAACTAACAAAATATCCTCAGATATAAACCTTAAGAACCAAAAAGAAGATCTGGAGGAATTGTGGAGTGGTCTAGTTTTGGGAGAAAACCAACTACTTATAGAAAACCAAAAGTAATCCTAGATTTGGAAGAAAACTCAATCCTAATTGAAATCCGGAAAACTGTGTACGCACGGTCCGCTCGAGCGTGGGACTTCCCGCTCGAGCGGAGACTTCAAATTTTGTGATTTCATATAGGCTCCACGCTCGAGCGTCAGTTTTTACGCTCGAGCGTCGAATCACACCATCTAATATATTTGCAGGCTTGACAGAAATGCTGAGAGGGTCCAATCCCCGCTCGAGCATCACTTTCCCCGCTCGAGCGGGGAGGCCAAAACTGGAAAACTCAAAAAGGCAACTTTGGCAATTTTGAATGCATTTTTGCATTTTGCTTCGGTCGCGAGCTGACCGGGCAGCTCGACTCCCGTAATAATCAGCGAAGTGGCAATCTTGAAAGTATTTGTGTCACAAACTTCTTTGAAAGGCTCGATTCGGGTTGGATTTGCATCTAACAACTCATAACCTCACTGAAATAAAAATGCGAATAAAATTACAACTCAAAGGAGTTTTGTCAAACGGGATTGCCAAGAAATAAAACCTAACATTAAGGTTTGCCAATTTTGCAAAACAAACTCAAAATACTCAAAAAAAGAAAAAGAAGAAGAAAGAAGATGATTGATATTCATTTTATGTATGAGTTTTCAAAAAGATTATGGTGCACACCTCTCAAATGGTGTGTACCATATGTACCTTATAACTAAATAATAAAATGACATAATCTCATATTTTTAGAGTCATAATTAAAAAATAAAAATAAAAAGTTATAACTAAACAATACATGAGTCATAACTAATGATCTCATGAGTCATAACTAAAGTAAGGTCATAATAAGAAGAAAATTAGTTATAACTAAAAAAAAAAAAATAGTATAACTTAAGAGTATATATGATATGAGGTGTGTGTAGTAGAATTTTTCATGAATTCTACAATACAAGAATTACATCTAAATCACACATTAAATTTCTAGTTAAATTTATAGATTATAAGACTTCGTTTGAGAAGTGGGTTGGTTTTTTGACTATTTTAGCCTACGGCTAAATCTCGTTTGGGTTGGGCTTTTTGACTTTTGTGAGAAAAAAAGTAAAACGATTATGGTTTGAATGTGATATTTTATCTTATTGATTTTTTTGCTTTTTTAGTGTGACTATTTTAGCAAAAAGTCCCCCAACCTACGAGCATCTCCAATGCATTGCTAAAATAGTTGCCAAAGCCATAATATGGTAGCTTGGGCAAAAATGGCTTCTCCAATGGCATGCTATAGCAGTTACCAAATTTGCCAAGTCACCCAAAAACCAACTGCTTTCTTCCTTCACTCCTTCCCTTTCAGTTGGGCATTTTCTAGAAAAACCTCCCAAAAATGTTTGAAGTTTTTTTTAAAAAAAAAAAAAAAATTCAGCATTTAAAAAAAAAAAAAAAAGAATTCACCAATTTGTTACTTCAAGGTGTGTCAAAAAAAAAAAAAATCACCAAATTCACCAATTTGTGCCTTTTCCAAACACAAATCTCACCAATTTATAACTTTGAAACAAATTTCAACAAATTTCACCAATACAAAATGGCTATAGAAAAAAAATATTAAGAATAAATAAAGAAAGAAAAACCTGGAGGGATCGTCGAACACCAAGAAGCGAGAGATGCCCAGATTGTGAGAGAGAGATGGACTGATCAATAGAGGGTTTCGTTGGACTAATCTTCATTAGAATGATAGATCCGATGAGGGGATAAAGGGGCATGGATGATTTAGGGTTTGTTTGTGCCTCATCATCTTCGTCTTCATTTTCGATTTCATGGGTTTCGGGTTTCTCAAACGATTTAAGATTTGAAGAGAGAGAGAGAGAGAGAGAGAGAGGGGTTCATCATCAGAGAGATGATGAGGATCGGTGATGAATGAGAGAAAAAGTGAGAGAAAGCTGAAGAGAAAGAGAAACAGAGAGGTGGGAGTCAGTGATCGGTAATTGGTGATGAGTGAGAGAAAGAATAAGAGAAAGTTGAAGAGAAAAGAGAAACAGGGGGGTGAGAGAAAGTTGAAGAGAGAGAGAAAGCGACTTGGGAAGAGAGGGGAAGATGATTCTAGAAGTAGATCTCAGCCGTTAACGGTGAGGGTGAATTACATTTTATTTATTTATTTATTTGTAGTGGTTTGTTTTTTGGTGGGGTGAATTATATATATATTTTTTCAATTTTTCAATTTCTTTTTCATTTTTTTATATTTATCTAGTCGGGTATAATGTAAATATATATATATATTTTTGCAAACAGTTAAAAAAATGTCACAAAAGACAAAAATTAAACAAAAAAAAAAATTACTAAAAACTTATATCCAAACAACATCTACGAACTTAGAGGGAAAATTGGTTAAAATTGCCAAAATAACATATGTACTATTCGAGCACCATTGCTATAATTTGACAAATTATTATTACTCACTGCCAAATTATAACAATGGCAATGGTATTATAACAAATATTATTAGAGATACTCTAACATGCCAAACGGGGGCTAAGGCTTTTTGAAACTCAAAACCTAATGTAATTTTTTAGTGATTTTTTGGTTGTCTTTTAAATAAAAATAAAAAAAAACTTTTGACTTTTAAAATATACTCTATTAGACCAGCCAAAATGTAAAAAAAAAAAAAAAATTCACTAAAACCAATAATAAGGCCTTGTTTAGGAACATGTTATTTTAATAATTTTTTAATTTTTTGGTTAAAATATGAGGTGAAAAAAATTAGGATGATAGGAATAACTTTTTAGGTTTTTATGAAAGAATGTACAAAAAATAGAGAAAAAATGAAATCTTTGACTTTTTTTTATATGTTGTTGACTTTTTAATTTTTTTAATATTTTTTGACTTTTAAATTAAAACAGTGAGTCGGCAAATGAGACATAAGTAAAAAATTGAGAGAATTACCTGATAGTAATAACAGTGAAAGAAAATTACAAATTAATAAAAAAATTATAAATATTTATAATATTTTTTAATTTCTTGTAAATATTTTTTGACTAACCCATGTCAATATAATTCTCTTAAAAAGATATGTACCATATATATTTTATAATTAAAAAGAAAAGTAACATAATTTTAATTTTTTAAATTATAACTAAACACAACTTAAAGCATAATTAAAGAATTTATGAGTTATAATTAAAATAATACTATAACTAAAGAAGAAAATTGAACATTCAGAAGAAAAAATCACATAAGAAGATATATGTCATACATTTTTTAAAGGGGGTATATTAGAATTTCCCCTAAAAAATGTACTCCTTTTTTTTTTAGTGAATTTTTTTTTGGATTTATAGTTTTTACCCAATATTCTGGCGGGACTTTTTTGTTCCAGTTCCCTCCCAAACCAACCTCCCAAACCCTTGATTAACATCACATCTTAAGCACATTGCTATCAATACCATTGTAGAGATCGATCACTCCTTTCAAATCCTTGCAATCTTGACAAAAAAAAAAAAATGATGAAGCAGAGTATCATATCGAAGAAGAAGAAGAACAAACAGTCCATCCCAGAACAAGTTCCAATCCAAGTCATCCTCGAAATCCTCTCCAGACTCCCCATCAAATCCCTCTTCCATTGCCAACTCGTTTGCAAAGAATGGTTTTCTTCAATCTCAGACCCACACTTCGCTAAACTCCACCTCTCAAGATCACCCATCAGCCTCTTGATCAAACCCATCTTCAGAGCATCCAGACAACTCCGCTTGTACGACCTCCAAATCCTCCACAAAACCCATCCCCGCGAAGCTCATCTCAAGCTCACTTCTGAAATCAACATCCCATATGCGGGTCAAGAAATTGTGAATTCTTGTAATGGGTTGCTCTGTTTGTGCCACATTTCTGTGATTTATGTGTGTAATCCGATTCTGGGCGAGTACATTACCTTACCATATGCAACCTATGATGGACATTACAGTGTTCCCACTGTTACTGCTTTTGGGTTTAGTCTCAGGACTAATCAATACAAGGTTATACGGTTTTTTATCGAACGGGTTGTCGAGTCAATCAACCCCATTACTGAGTTAAAGACTTATCGTGATGATCCAAAAGCTATGATTTACACAATTGGTGGGTTGTGGAGAAACTTAGGTAGTGTTCCTTATTATTTGACGAATCGTTCGTTCAATTCTTTCGTGAATGGAGCTCTTCATTGGCTTAATTTTACGTGTGATAGTCCTGATTTCATTCGATGTTTTGATTTTGATAGCGAGGAATTTCGGGTTGTTCCTGAACCTCCTGAGTTTGGTCTGCGTAAGGAGTTTTCGGATCATATTCGTGTGGGTGTGCTACGAGGTAGTCTCTCCATTTGTGATTTTTCTAGTCCTCTTCGTATCTCTATATGGTTAATGAAAGATTATGGGATTAAGGAATCATGGAGCAAAGAGTTGGTTATTGAAGATGGGATTGGTAAGAGAGGAAATTTTGACTGTTATGAGCCAATCATGATTCTAAAGAGTGGTGAAATCTTGATGCTTGTTAACAAGGATGCTCTCAAGATGTATAATCCTAAGTTGGGTAAATTTAAGAAGCTAAATACTTATGGGATTAAATCAGAATTTTATGGGACTGCTCATGTTCCGAGTTTTGTTTCCCTCAGGGATGTTGCCAAAAGAGAGAAATTTTCTTTCGTGTGTTAACAGTCGCCAATGCAGGTACATATTTGTATTTGTATTTGTGTTTTTTTTTTTTGGTTTCGGGAAAGTAAATTTTTGAAATTGAAATCGTTATGCATCATTATGAGTTTTTAGTATCTGCCATTGAAGCTCTTGTATATGTTATACTTGCTAATAATTTGCTGTATGTCAAGTGTGTCCACTATATATTTCTGTTGTTTGGCATTTTGGCTTTGTTGAAGTTTAGTCTTGACCAAACTCATTTGTGTTATGTACTTTCACAAATGCGCTGTCACAAAATTTGTTAGGATGGAGTTTTGAATTTAGAGTCCAGGGGCAATTTCTGCAAATAGAGACAATAGGCATTAGGGTTCAAGGAAAGGTGTGAAGGTGCGCCCATCCAAGGGTCAACACTTTGATGCCACACACATTTGTGCTTTTTGGAGAGCCAAAGACATGCCTAAGAAGTTGTTGGTGCAAGTGCAAGCAAAGACCCATGGCTTAGTGCAAGATAGTCCAAGACATGCCATGAAGCAACCTAGCCACCAGGTAGCAATTTTAGGCCAACTTTTAGAGGGTCAAATGTAATCTTTTTGCCTTGTAAATTTTTATGTAAATACCTTAGTATTAAAGGTGTTTTGGGACCAAGAGTTGTAATTTTTCTCTTTTGGTAGAATTTTAAAAAATTCATTATGACTCTTCAAACATACTGGATGTTTCCTTTTGCTAGCTAGGAAAAGGCTTAACAAGCTATATTAAGGAGGGGGTACCTAAGTGTTGAACTAGACCACTTGTGCCTTTAATGTACCCCAACCTAGCTCATGGTAAGACAACTTTTGTAGCACTTTTGTTGCATTGTTCAACTATTGTAATGCTTTCTTTTGAGTAATGAAAAGTTCATTTCGCCTTTAAATTGTGCAAAGTCTTTCAATTGTTGCTTACTTTAATTTTAGCTTGTTGATTGTTATTTTGTGGCTTGTCTCCAATCTTGTAGCTCAACAACTTAATTAATATTGTGTTTGCTTGTCTTTGCAAACCTTTTGAGCATTATTGGCGGGCTAGTGAAGAGAGTTAACTAGCGCCACACACACTTGCATATGTTTGTCAAGGCTTCCGCATTGCCAGTGTGTGACAAAAGGCCAAGTCAGATTCTTGCTTATTGTTAAGTGTTTTAACCTTTGCAAGTCCAGTCCAAATGTTTGTGTTTTTATCCTCCCTTGTATCTATACCCAAATACGTAATAGCTGCTTTTGGGGTTGTTTTTGTTTTTTGGAAGAACACATTATGTAAAAAAGGATTTAAGTTTGGAAGAGCCTGGAGCTGCCTACCATCTTCTTCTTCTTCACAATGAAATATACTTGATTGGAAGGCAGCAGGTTTGGTTTGGGTAGAAGAAGAGCTTGTGATCGGTATGGCTTCACAAATACTTCGTCTATATTTGCCTCATAGCTTTCGTCTGCCAAGTGCGTTTTACTTTAACTTGAAATTTTGACTACCTAGTATTGTGGTATACCTATTAGGGAAGTTCGAGTGATAATTAATGTCGAGGAGTGACATATGCTATGGAATAGAATACGCGAACAGGACCTTTTGCATTATTCTATCTTTCAACCAATATTATTGAGGTATTTTAATAATAATGAAAAAACTAGCTCTCCTTTGTCTTCAGCATTTTCCTTGATGTGGCTTCTTGTTCTATAACTCTTTTTCCTCCTTACCACCATGTCATAAATCAATGATTTTCAATTTGAGGGATTCTGTGTTTCCCCAGAAGACTGTTATCAAAACCCTCAGGCATTATTAGAGTTTGGAAACTGCCTCCTGCCCCTGCCAATCTTTGAAAGGGGAAGAGCCAGAGGTCCCCTGTGCCTTCTACGTTTGGACCAACATCCCTCGGGGGATTCATAATGATAGTGATGGATCCTTTATACTTGGAGTTACAATCACAACCCTTGGTGTGGTAGTGAGAAATATTAGGATTGAGGGTGGATAGAATAGGTTTGAGTCTTCTTGTTTCATCCCCTCTGATTTCTGAAACTTCAGCTTGGAGTTTTGAAGCTGTTTATCCAATCTGATTGGCGAAAACAACCTGATTTCTCAATCATTATATCCAGCCTTTTTCATGGCTCCTCATAAAAGTTCATGCAGTTGGTGCGAACATAAGCTCTCTTGCAGAGTCCCTTCAATTCTCTTGACCCAAGACAAAAAAAAGCAAAGCATGGAGATTCACATTCCTCTTTAAGGGTTCGCTCACGCTCAAGTTTGGCTGCTGCTGTTTTCAGTCAGATGAAGTCTAATTGTTAAGTTCATTTTCTTAAAAAAAAGAAAGAAAGAAAAAAAAGAAGCCGAAAAGAAAAGAACAGAAAAAAGAAGAGTTAAATAAATAAATAAAGAGCAAGAAAAAATCACTAGACATCCGTGGCATACGTGATATTAGAGGTGTTTGGGCTGGTGTCGACTGCAATATATGCTCTGGGCTCTCTATAAAAGTATAGTGTTTTGGGTAGAATGAAATTCACCTGAAACCATTATCACGGACCACAAAGTATTCATAGGATCATCGTTATGAATGTCAACCCACTGGCAAGATTGGTCATATTGTGAAGATATTACACTTGTGTAGCTGTTTGGAAATAAATTTAGCTGTATGCTGCTGTGGTGCAAGTTCATTAGATTTATTAGTATTCAGTACTGACAGTTACTTTCCTGTAACAATCATGTCATACTTAAATTGATTTATCCATGCTTAATGCTATGGCAAAGATTTGAGGTCATTATTCATTATTGTGACATTCGTGTGGAAAATCCAAATGGTGTATGTTGTGTAGGTAAAACTCTGTAGCAGTTATATAATTCATCTCTACAGGTAGACCAGTAATCTCTCTGATGCCACTAGTATGAATATAGATTGGTGTGCATTTCTTCTGTATATACACTCATCAATTCCTAATTTGTGCTCGTGTGTAAATGTATCATGTTCCCTTTTTTGGTACATTTTTTGCTGAAAAATAACCTTGTGCCAAGTAATGGAATAACTACTCCTATCATTAATATAGGATCGCGTCTAGACTGGGGCCAATTGTGGAAAATCTGACAAACTAGTCTTCCAAAAAATTTATGACAAAGTTCATTTGAAAGATCCAAACTGGTTTTGATTAGAGTACGCTACTGTCTAACTTATAATTTAATGAACCGGATGTGCAGAGGCTAAAGCGTTGGAAAGGAACCAAACCCTTTTTCTTGGAGGAAGACTGACGGATCGTAGTAGTCCTTCAGCGAGTGAAAGTTTGCTTTTGGGTGTAGTTATGCAGGAGCTATTTTGTCGGCTAAACCTACCTTGTTGCTATTTTTGAAAAATATGGTGAAGTTTCTTTTTTCGTTCTAGTTCTTTATTGTGTCAGCACAAGCAAGAATTATTTGAGACCTTGAACTTTTGGTTTTTGGGTATTGTTTTGCAGGAGTTTTACTTCTTTGGATTCAATGACATGTTATTGTAGATGATGTAAGTAGAACATATTGAGAATTATAGTAAAGTGTAAAAAATGAGAAAAATTAATTGTAAATCAATAGCATGCAAGTGAGATGTATGCTTGTGAGAACCCGAATATAAAAATCAAGTAAATAATTAAATAATAATAATATTATAATCTCGAATATTTTGGTGATGAATCCTAAAGTGCAAATTAAATACTTGAAGGTCTTTTAAAACCTAAAATAAATTTGTGGTGAAAGCATTTAATTTAGAGGCAAGATTTATTATAAAAAAATATAGAGAGAGAAGGGTGTGACTTGAACTCTAGACCACAAGGTTAATATATAAGACTCTTACCATTTGAGTTGTATATAACTTATATATATGTTTTGTATATGTATCTATTTATTTGACCTATGTGTGTCCACCACTAGTATAAAATAAAATAAATACAAACCCTACTCTATTATTTGTTCACCACATAGGGCAACAACAGCAACCACAAGAGAGGGTTAGAGAGAAGGAAAGAAGAAGAAGAAGATGTTGCTATCAAAGAACTTTTGGATGTGTTGTGTTGTGTGTGATCATCAAAGGTTAGCCCTCCTAGGTTTTCTTCTCTTCTTTCTTTGTTCTATCCTTATTCTATTGTTATTTAATTCATTGATGGAGGTTGTAGGTTTATATATTTTGTATATATATATACTTTTAAGAAATTTGAGGAGTTAAATTCATGTATAAAGAATGAGTATTATTCTTAGTTAAAAAATTCTGCGCATAATCACGAACTTTAAAAATCAAGAAACCATATCAAACGGATGAATTTTAATCTGAAATTTTTACAGTAGATCAATTACATATTGAATTGCATATCTGAATTTTTTCATAATTTTTGGGAGTCAAAATTCATATAAATTGAGGTATCCAAATCTGTCCAGGAAACCAGTCCGAAACAGTAAATTCGGGAGTGTTGTTCTCTTTGGGTATAAATCCAAAAATTATCAAATTAGTGTCATTAGAACCGGTTACGAGACTAGTTTCGTATGTTTTTGGCCTTGCATTGATTGCTCGTGTATATTAAGAGAACCGTTAATTTCTTTAAAGTGCTGCAGAAAACAACCTGTTTGGATATAATAAATTTAGATAAATTAATTTTGATAAGCAAATCAAGTTAAACCAATTGGTGACTTAGATATATAGATCATATCTTAGGTTTTGGAATTTTTTTGAATAGCGGGAGTGGGTTTTGTAATTTCAAAGTAGCGAATAGATTGGGAAAACTTGTTTTAAAACACTATTTATCTTAAAGTCAACAATTAATTACGTTATCACCGGAACCATGTTCTTGGTATTTTAAGAGCAAATGGTAGAGGGCTCAAATTTCTGTGGCTCAAATGTTTACGACGTCGTTTGAGTACATAAACACATCAAAATGGCCAAAAACGACGTCGTTTTGGCCATTTGAGTTCCAACATTTGAGCCACGAATTAGGGCCCCCAAGACATTTTTCTGATTTTAAACCTTGAAGAAACATGAACTTAGGAGTAATTATTTAAGAGTAAACGGTGAGTTGGGTTGAGCTTGTTATGCGCTTTCAAGTTGAGGTTACTTAGTTTTCTATTTTAGTATTTTAAACTTAGTTTTGTGACGCGTAGTTTTTACTTGGTTCAGGGCACTAGTTGGACTTTTACACTCTATTCGATTCAAGGATTATATATTTTCGTTTCAGGTGAGTAGTTTCATGCTACATATTTTTATTAAAGTTTCCCTACCCTGAATTGGTTGAAATTAAATTGTGTTGTTATGATTAAACTGTTTTGAAATTATTATATTATCAATTGAATCAAATTAATTCTGAAACTGTGTGACTTGGCATACTGTAAACCTATTTGTTTTTGGTCTCATGTTTATAAGCTGAACTACATGTTTTGCGAAACTGATGTGTATTGAATTATTGGGACCATGTGTGTATTTAGTCCAGGAAATTATCCACTGTGTTGTGACTCTGGCCCACCCTATAGGAACAGATTCGGGTTGGGCCGTGAATGACTCCTAAGTGCTCAAAAACGATTGTAAGGAAAAGACCTTTAAAAACAACTAGGTGACCTTCAATCGGATCGTCTTCTGAGAAAAAGGCAGGTGCCACCCTTGAGGATTGCTCTTAGGTTCGTATTGGAAGTCCAACGAGGCTTAAATGCTCTGAAGAAACTGTGCTCGGCAAGATTATTTGTTTTTTATTGGTACCCAGAAAATTATTGGTGTTCATGTTATAATCTGTTTTAAGTGGAAAATGTTGTTTATCATGTTCTTGCGAGACATGAGTATTTTAAGTGTTGAACTGTGGAACCTTCTTTTTGAAACAGATTGTATTTACCAAACTGTATGCCAATCTAGTTTCTGTGATATATATCTTATTTTGGAATTGAACCCTGTTTTCAAAACTGTATTTACTATCCATGTTGCTACTCACTGAGCTATCAGCTGACTTAGTTGTTTACCATTTCCAGGTGTTAGAAGGACTTAGAGTCGACTCATGGCGTAGCGGGGACTCAATTGCATGGACCTCTAGGGCATTTATTTAATTTGTTTTAGGTTGCTTTGTCGAGTTTTGTGCATACATTGTGGTTGGGTTTTATTTAGAATTATTTTAATTTATGGGCGGTTTGTGTCCCATTTAGTATATATATACTTTTAGGAAGTTGGTTATGACTTGTTTTCACTTGCGGTATGTCGCTGGATTGAGTGTTGATTTATTTATTTCTGGGCTATCATCACATTTATTCTTTTTGATTTTTGGGTTCATGTTTAGGCTTACGTGTGCCTTGGGCTAAGTCCCTGTGGGCCACGGCCGGTCATGCCCGGATTTGGGGTGTGACAATGCTCAAGTGAATGTTGTGTTCTGGGTCACAGTTTTCATTTGCACTTTCATTGATCTGCAAATAATTATTATTTTATTGTTTGAATTAACATTGATGTTGTGAAATTTTATTGTTGGAGCTAATGTTTGCACAGTGAATTATAAAATTTAAAATCACATGGATTTGATAAAAACCTCTACCATAATATATTTAGAGGTTCCTTTTGAATTAGATAATGAATAATATAAAATCACATGGATTTGATGAAATAAAATTTGAAAAAAAAACTCTACCAATGGATTTAGATATTCCTTTTGAATTGTTCAGCACAACGCATTAGTAATTCATATTATTTCTCCAGTTTTGAACCCCAAGTCATGTGATTGTTTGCAATATACAATAAAATTTGGGTGCCTCTATTTACACACCACATGTGGTCTCAAGGCACACCACTACTCAGTTCACACCTTTAATAATTTGAAAAAACATATAGCTTGTGTGGTTTTGATTTTCAAAAAATTCTATTTTTTTATTTTTCATATTTTAATGTTTTCAATGAATTTGTTTAATATTTTAGCAATTTTTTTTTAAAAAAAAATTTAGACACGCCTAACATAAATACACTTAAAAAGTATAATATTTGTGAAAAATATTTTTAAAAATTAAAAAATATACAAAAATACGAAAATTGTATTGAATTTTCATTTTTTTTGTATTTTTTGGTATTTAGTGTATTTTTTAAATATTTTTTTCATAAATATTATACTTTTTAAGTATATTTATATTAGGTGTGTCTAAAAATTTTTTAAAAAAATTGTTTAAAATATTAAAAAAATTCATTGAAAATATTAAAATACGGAAAATAAAAGGATAAAATTTTCTGAAAAACTGTTTTATGAAAATCAAAACCAAACAAGCTGTATGTTTTTTCAAATTATTAAAGGTGTGAACTAAGTAATGGTGTGCCTTAAGACCAAATGTGGTGTGTAAATAGAGTCACCCATAAAATTTGGGTGAATTACACTCTCCTCCCTTATGGTTTGACAAAAAAATAGTTAGCCTTACTAGTTTGATATAATTACACTAATATCCTTTTAATAAAATTAAAATCATCAAATTAATGCAAATGGTAGGTAAATAGATAAATAATAAATGTGTTTGGTTTTAGTTTTTTGAAATTGAGTTTTTCGTTTTTTGTGTTTTTTTGTTTTCAGTGAATATTTTTAAAATTTTAAATAATTTTTTTTTACTTTTTTGGATTCACATTACTTAGATGTATCTAAATAGTAAAAATATTTGTGAAAAATGTTTTAAAAAATTAATAAATACACAAAAATACAAAAAATGTATTGAATTTTTGTTTTTTTTTTTGTTTTGTTTTGTTGTTGGTATTTAGTGAATTTTTTTAAAAAAATTTCACAAATATTATACTTTTTAAGTATATTTATGTTAGGTGTGTCTAAAAATTAAAAAAAAATTATTTAAAATATTAAAAAAATTCATTGAAAAAAAAACAATTTTTTTTTTTTTTTTTTTTTTTTTTTTCCAAAATTTTTTTTTTTTTTTTTTTCCAGAAAAGTGGTTTTTGGAAACCAGAACTAAACAATTATATGACTTGTAAATTGTTGATGAAAAAGATTCGAGTGTTTTTTTTTTATTATTATTTTAGGAAAAGATTCGAGTGTTATATAAATTAAACCTTCAAAAAGATTGGTATATTATGTTAAAAATGTAGCGCTAACTGTAAAATTTTCAAATTGTAGGGGAGATGAGTGTAATTTATCCATAAAATTTTGTAATGGTAGTTTAAATGCGCAATGTAAATCCGAAACACAATCAATTGTTGTTTCAATAGATAATTTAAGCTTAAAAAATAAAAATTCGTACAAATGAATAAATAAATAAATAAATTTTTAATTCCACTAAATCCTAGCACACAAATCTCATGGTAGGATTGAGCGCGAATCGGTTCGGTTTTGAAGTAAATTAAGGTCAAACCATTATTTACAATTCTATAAAATTTGTAACTAAATCAAATAATGAAAATTTTAGAACCAAATCAAACCAAAGCATGACAACACAATTCAATTTGGGTTGAAACTACAATTTTCATGAATTTTTTCATTATTCACAACATGTTTAAAGATCAAGAAATATATTATTATTTTACAAATAAAATTATTTAAATAATTGTTTGGAAGTAGTTTTACTATTATTCAAGAATACATTTGT